TTCCAGAAACTTTCTGATTGCTGCTCTTGTCTTTTTGTTTTATTGTTGTTCTCTTCATTCTTTGATTGCACCTTTTTAACAGTTGGAGAGCTATGAATATATAAAAAAGTAAAATAATCTAGAGGAAAAAAAGAAGTATGAGAAAAATGTCTTCCTTTCCTACAAAGTTGTTTCTAATTATTATTATCTTTCTATTATTATTATTACTATTATTACCTTTTATTTATTTTTCTTTTCCTTTCTTCTCATCTCTCTATTAAATGATACGTTTGCATTGATTAAATACTTTCTGGTCACGAATTCATATGCGTTATCCTTCATTAACTTAACTTGTCTTGTTTTCTATCCTTCATTTTAACATCTTATCTCTCTACATTTTTGTACTGTCAGGACCCAAGAGGTCACCAATTGTCGCAAGTAAAAATTAAAAATAGTTTAATACACTCGTAATAATCCTTATTGTAGGCATGTAATTGACGTGATCTTAATAAATTTAACATTCACATAATGGATGTTGGATCGTTGAATACTGTTGATCAATTTGTTATCGAGATCTATGAATCAATCGAAATGATGCTACATCAACATACACTTTATGATGATGTACTTGATATTGACGAGTCTTTAAATGAGACAGGTTTTTGATGATGAACTGATTATTCGTGGTAAATATTTCCTCATTATTGTATCATCTATTTCAAGTGCTCGTGATCATTGAGTTGACTTTCAACAACTATATATACATCTATTTGCTACTTATACATAACTTCGATTAGATTTAGGAATGTACTAGTTTTGCTTAGTGTTGATTGCTCTATGTGACACTAACATTAGGATTCATCGAATTTAAAAAACGAGGTTCAGAATCAGTTGAAATTGATGAGTTTTAAAAGAATATCGGATCAATTCTGCAACCTATTTATATTTTCAAAGAAATCAAACTATAGTATCGGATACAACATTCAAAATTGAATATAGTTGACATTAACAATTGACATAAATCTGTGGTTTCTCAACACTACAGATACATTACTTTTGAATTGAAGCTCCAAGTATTGGTGCATCAATACTCAAAGACAACATATTTCCAATATTCAGAACTACAAGTTTTCGTCGGTGACTGATGCCAGTAATGATCAATTTTGAAAGCTTTGTCTGATGCTATAATTTGATTTCTTTGAAAAGTTAATATAGGCTACATAATTTGTCCAATTTTCTGCTAAAACTCATAAATTTCAACTAATTTTGAATCTCACTTTTCAGATTCGATGAAATTTAAAGGTATTTCTGTCTCAAGGAATTATTAATGATATAGTGCAGATGATGCTTAGTGGTAATTTACTATTAACTAATATGAAGTAGCTTGAAAATGATTAATTACTAATAAGAAAGTATCTTCTAGTATATTCTATAAATTAATCAACTATGAGTTTCTTTTATTGGTTTTTTTTTTAATAGATAAATCAAGGAAAGATGTAAATTTCACATTCAATTCAATGTATATTCTACATTATTCTAACATAACTAATTTGATATTTTGTTTACTTATTTTTTTTTGTTTTTATTTCTATTTGTATGATATGAAACTAAAAAGAATGATAACATGGATTTATTTATAGAGGAAAAATATGTAACAAAATCTTTCGTTTAATGATAATCTATTGTACGCATAAAAAGAATAAGACCAATAGTCAAATAAATAAAAAGTGCAATCACAAATGTTGCCATCGACCAAGAAAATGAACGTCGTGCATGTATATATGCTTGTTCATAATGTCCATGACGTTCACAATGCAAAGACTTAATCGCATAAATTATTGCAACAATACCTATTCAAAATATAAAAACAAATTGAATTAGTTTTTATAATGAAAAATTTTTTTCCACATGAGTTAATTTATTGTAAAAAAAAGTTATTAGCTTATCACTTCGATCTGTATATATATATATATTTATTTTCTTTCTTTTTCGTTTCAATGGAATATTTCCGTATATTCTTATTAATTCAAATCTGCACTTACCAGTGACAAAAAATAATAAAGATGAAATCAATGCACAAGCAAGATGTCGTTTAGGATGAGCTTTTTTATTCATTAATAATTGTGTTGGACATTGATATGGTTCATCTGAACATATCAATACAATGATAATGATAATAAATAATTTATCTTACCAAATGAAGCACTACCACGTTCGCCAGTTAATGATCGACCCGATGCTGACCATCGACATGGAGATAATTTTTGATGAGAATGAAATGCTGAACATGCTTGCGAGGAAAGCATAATTAATATTAATTTTTATTTGAAAAAATAATTCATTTCTAAAACAATATGTAAATGAGTCATTCAATAGAATAATAGTTAATTGATCTACCAAAAAGCGAGTCGTGCCTTGAAAATTTGAAAATTTTTCATTTATCAATCTCTCACACAGATTGACAATAATAATAATAAAAAAAAAACTTTAAGCAAAAAAAAAAGAAAAAGAAAGAATTACATACGGAAATCGTTCGTTCGCCTACATCAGATACTTATAATCGATTATTCTAGGTATGAGTATTTTCATATAAAAGTTATACGGGAATAAGAAGAAAAGCTTACATGCGCGCACAACATCTTATCGTGAAAATAAACATTTGTTCTCATTTGATTGGCATCTTTAAAGAGTGTTTTATGTAAGAAAAAAAAAAACGAAGAAGGAAAAAACTAAAGTTCTACAATCGTCGCATATTCTTTCATGTGAAAGTCAGTATGTTTTAAGGAAAGAAATCAATTCTAATCAAAAGAGAAATAAATTCACTATTTCCTACTTGCAAATGATAATGATAATAGAAAAAACAAATATCATGTTAATTTATAATCGATAGATTTTCTTTTCCTTCGATTCGTTCGCCTTTTTTTTCCTCTCTTTTTCCTTAGGATTAAAGATGAATGCAAGCGAGAAAAGTGAATAAATGAAAATAGCGTATATACAAGAGCGCAACCAACATTAATATTTGCTATTGTCGATACAAATGTATACGCATAGATTTTTGCAATCCATTAGCCTAATGTTGAGTTTCTAGACGAACTGAAGATGAAAACAGAAGGGAGAGAGAGAGAGAGAGTTGATGAAGCAGAATAAAAGAAAATCTGACTACGATTGCGTGTATAAAACGCTTGACAAATTCAAATCAGATTCTCTTCTTATAGTAGAAGGCATGCAAATTTTACAAATTTACAATCAAATCGATGGCTTATTAGAATTTTCTTCTTAAAGTTGATATATTTAATATAAAATAGAAAAACATTTAACTATTTTTTTAATATCGACATCGAGTGAACTTGTATATAGAAGTAATATGTATTCGTAATAGGTTTTTTTTTCATCAAAAAAAAAAAAAAAGATTTAGATATATTAATGCATCTATTCGACGAATTTTGAAACTAATTTGAGGAATAATTGTTTATTTCAATCATTTCAATGAATTCTTGTTTTTTGTATCTTAGATTTTGTTTATGAATTATCACTATTCAAATGAATTTTTCTGCATATAGCATTACAAACATCACACTTTTGATGTGTAAAAAATCCTAAATATTACTCAATATTTCCCAATATCATGTTTTTGATGTTTATAACTGTAATATTTAATAGAGAGGAATTATGGTAGTTAATTTTGTGTAAAAATCATTTTAAATATGACATACGAAGAAACTGTTTGTCACAGATGTTTATTATTCGTCAAATAAAGATCGTGCATGATTGATGTGTATCAAAACATAAATAAATCTTTATGTTCATTGAGAATAGAAATGCTCACACTGATCAAATGGCACTAAATTGTTTTTCTTTTCTCAGATTTATAATCCAAACATGAAAATATTGAAAAAAGAAAAAGACTTAAGTCATCATGTAATACCTGTTCAATTAAACTCATCTCCCTCAAAAAAACAGCCATTTTTCGTCAAAAATATGAAAATTGATGTAAATCGATGAGAAGACAAACTGAAGTCTCGTCTTTCATAAATGACATGATATGTTATTTGGCACTTATTGTTTACCAAAATGTCCGCTATTTTCTGCTTGAAAAACATAGTTTTTTTCAGATGAAGCAGAAAATCGTTTTGTACTTGTTCTCTGCTTATGTTTTTTTGATCGCACGTTTCATAATTCTCGAAGGAGTTTCATTGTAGTCAATGACGTTTGTTTTTGTTTGAAAGAGCATTTTAAGATGCAGGGCATGACAGGATCCTTTTTTTTGAATGAAGCTTTGTTACTATTATATAAAAGAGTATCTTTATAATTAGAACGCCATTTTTTGAGAATTTTTTCTAGACATTGAACTTTTCATCTCTTTTGGTTCCCTTAAAAAATAAGAATTGAAAAAACAGAGACTTTGTCATGCTCTTTCAAACAAAAACAAAATAAGTATATATACGATGAAGGTCTACAGAGAATTTTGGCTTGCTAAATGACCTATTTTTGACTCTTATTTGTTGAATATCTTCCAAAAACGTCATAATATATAACAGAAAATTTTATGCGATTTCTATTTGAATGAAGAACATTCAAAAAGTAGAACAGTCTATAGAAAATCTTTCAATAATTGCGCCAGCATTATTTGATTAAACAATGCTAACAAATTTATACGCAATATAATAGCTCGATGCATGTGATTAATCTTTTTAATTTATTTTTATCATACGATTCTAAATTGCATGTGATCCTAACCATATGCGACTTTGTTTTTTATTCTTTTATAAATATTAGATTTGTGTTTTGTTCTTGCTGGTTTTTTTTTCGAGAGCGACAAGACACGATCATTATCAGTGACGGATGTAATAAAATAGAGCAGCTGCTCTCATTTATTTCGTAGAGGTGACGACATAAATACGACCATGTCATTTTATAATTTGTTTTTTCTTTTGCGTTCGTTTGATCTAAGATATGATTTCACATTCAGTCACTATATACTCATTTATTTTCATTGATTTGAATCGTAGAAATATAAAACGAACTATTTAGACATACATTATTTAATGGCATCTACAAATCCAACATCAGCAACGGCTTTAGCTGAACAAAATCCTGAAGATACTTTTGAACAGTATGAAAAGTATTTAAATGCTGGAAGGTCATTGAATTTTGTTTAATTTTAAAAGAAAATATAAGATTTTTTTTTTGTTTTAATAGTGGTGGTAAAAAACGTAGTAAAGTTGAAGTTCAATTAAATTCACAACATCATGATGCTGGTGGTGATACAAGAAAGATTGTACAAGCTATGGTTAATAATGAAAAAAATCAAAAACATGACAAGAAATAGAAGCTAAAAGATTTTATCTTCTTCCATTTCTGAATTAAAGATAATCGTTTGTCTTCGTACATTTTTTGGGACAATATAAGAGATATTATTTCATTTATTTTATGTTCATTGTTTAAATAAACATGATTTGTTTTTTCTTGTATTAAGCATCTATTTATATAAGTATGATTGAAATGGACACGAATTAACTTGAATTTTGAAGGAGTGTGTGTGTTATTTTCTAATTGATAGAGTCTTGTACACTTCACAAAGTTATCAAAATAAGTAGTAGGGGATCCTCTCGATTCGTCCCAAATTGGTCAATTAGACGATTCGGCTCTAAAATATTTTTCTTAATTCGTCCCTTACATAAATATACCATTCTTAATTGATTCTCAATTCGTCCCTTCCATGATGGCTGTTGTATAGTGACCGTATCATTATACATTGCACGATATTTTATTTTTTCTATCTTCGTTTTCTCTTACCTATCGCACGATCTTTATTCTTCTTCATCTCTTAAGTATCGAACGACTGTTCAAAAAGTGACAGTAGAAATCTATACTCCATTATATAGTTATGATATTGTATTGTAATTTTTTTTGGATAAAACTCTAAGATATGAAAATACATTACTATTTGATTTCTAACCAATTAGGGACGAGTTGAGAATTAATTAAGAGCGGTATATTTATGTAAGGGACGAATTGAGAAAAATATTTTAGAGCTAAATCGTCTAATTGACCAATTTGGGACGAATCGAGAGTAAACCAGTAGTAGAGTATGAATGAATAGGGACTCAAACATAAGAATAGAAAAACAATACAATATTTAACGAATCTGCAGTTGAAAGAAATCAGTTAGAACAATAGATACATTGTTAACATATTTCATTGCTCAATTATTAATTATCAAAAACCGATAGAAGCGACACTTTGTTTCGTGAATATGCACTTTGACTACATTATAGTGGCCATTTCTCAGTTTTAATTGATGCATTTAACCCATAAGTGTGGATGCATGTAGTCTTAATTCGAAATTAATACAGAATTATTTTTCTAGTATAGACAAGGCCATAGTTAACAGAGATAACAAGGACGAAAAAATAAAATTGAAAAGAACCGAAAAAGCAAAACGAAAAATAGATTCCAACGTGTTTATAAACGGCTCGATCATTTAAATCACTTTTTGTGGACTTGAAATACTTTCTCAGGATGATGATGCAATAATAGTCAAAATTATTCAGAACCAAGATATCCAATACACTATATGATTCTAAATAGATCACAATTTGTGATAACTTAAAACACATTATCAACAGAGATCAGGCAAAAACAAACTAAAAAAAGCGTCATTTTTTATTTCAATTTTTTCATAATGAGTTTATATTTCTCTTCACATGTCTAAGTGAAATATGTTATTTTGAGTATGTTGTACAATTCTCTTTTGACTCATGGAAGAAAAAAAAAAGTTACTAGACTCGTGATTTGTCACAAATACCATTTGATGCGCAATATGCTGATGCAATTCTTAATCAGTAGAAAAGCGATATAACAGAGAAAAGAAACAGATAGTTACGCTTCAATTGTTCCTGTGCAATAGAAACAAAGTATTTTGGGTGTGGGTATTGAAATTCAGTAAAAGAAGATCCACACCTCATGGTACCCATGTCTTTGGATACCATCGGCTTTTCAAAAATGTCTAGAAATTAAAGCCGTAAGGAATATAGTGTGTCTAGTAGATCCCTAGCCAAAGAAAAATTTGAGTATCTGCATTACGACTGGAGCAAATGGGCTCATTTTTTTGTCAAAGATAGAGGCATGTTCACACTCCAAATCGATATGGACAAGGTAAGTGAGAATCTTTGTTAAGTATATTGTTTTTTTCCTATCTGTGAAAAAGTAAAATTTTCTTGTTGAAGTCAATATTGATACTTAACAAATTTCTTAGTAACCTTGTCCGCATCGATTTGGAATGTGAACATGCCTCTATCATTCAAAAAAAAGTGAGTCCATTTGCTCGAGGCGTAATGAAGATAGAGCTGGAACCGTTTGAAAAATGGTAAACCGATCCAGTCCGGCCGGTTGGAATCACATGTCCAACCAGTGATGTTTCGGTAATAACCGCTGAATTTCCGGTGGAAACCGGTTGAAAACCGGCGTAAAAAGGTAAATTGTTTTGGAGAGCGATTTTTAAAAAAATGACTCCAACACAGACCGAAGAGTACGAACTGATTCCGGTCAGGAACGCCCCGGAAATTATTACCGGAACATGGAGGCAGTATTGTGGACCGGAATATCTCTGGATTTTTTCCGTAGCTTCCAACCACCTCTTTGTTATTTCCTGCAGAGAACGGTTGGAAGTCACCGGAAAAATTCGGAAACATTCCTGTTCGAAATACTGCGTCCATGTTCCGGCACATTCTGGTCAGATACAGCATTTTTTACGGTCGGTTCTGGTGGAATTTGTTTGCTTCCGATATCTTCGACCTGAGAAATATGAAATAATTTAGGAGCACATGAAAAAGACATTCATAATACTGAATCATTTTAAGGAGGATCTCAGAACAAATGATTAAAATAACATATGTTTTGAGTACTTTTTTAAGCATTCTGACGGGAAACACATGACACCTCGGCCTTTATGGCCAAAAAACAGAGTTAACAAGAAACATTTTTCAAAACTTTCAATCGGTGAATTTTCGGTATTCTCCAGTTCGGTTCCAACTCTGAATGAAGATATCAAATTTTTCTTTGGCTAAGGACTTGCTGGACATCCTGTAAGTCACAAGAAAATATGGTCTTTGGCACTTCCCACCTGGAATCCCTTTGTTGTAAATCCAATAATATTTCACAGTAAGCCAAACATCAATCGACTAGAATGTAAAGAAAAGAGGATGATTTACTAGGAGAGTAGGTTTAAACATAGGAGCGGCTAGTCGTGAGTGGCGTCTCGAACGGCTAATCGTTAATCTGGTAGGCTCACCGAAAGCACATTTTAGGTCAGTAGAATTCATATAAAATTCTCCAACGATCGGGTCTCACCAGTTGAAAGTGTCCGAAAGCTGAAAAAAACTCAGTGCAGTAATATGAGTTTTGATCCCCAATAAACACACAGCAATAAGGATTTACCAATTAAGAATAGCGATAACGACAGACAAAGAGCCGAGATTGTAGCTTCAAATAGAAGAAAATCTTGCAGAAAAATATAAATGAAATGTAAGTTGTTGTGTGTGATGATTAGGAACATTAACGATTTCTCAAAAAATCCAGAGCCAAAGGATATATACGTATCATAGGAGAAATCGAAAGTGGCGAGTGGCGGTCCGTGTGGATATCGATGACTGGGTGTGAGCTGCTTCCTAGGGCCCATTTTGGAAAATCTAAAGAGAAAGTTGAGAAGCTGAGTATTTTTACAAAGTGGTCGTCACCGATAATAGTATACAGCTTTTTTTATACATACATGTATATTCAGCAATAGTTTTCAAAAGAGAAATACAGGTGGTAGTGATGAAAATGATTAGATGGGTTCAGTCGAGGGTCAAGCGAATCGTAACGACGAACGTTACTTGTATTATATCTATGGAAAATTTCAACCCTTCAGGTTGAGTTATAGTGGAACTAGACATATAACAATTTGAGTAACTCAACTTTTCCTGGAGAATTTCTTTTTGCACGATCTTCTAAATTGAGTTATTGTCTCCATATAGCTTCAAAAAAAAAATTGAATCTATATAAATGGAAAGAGGAGAAGACGCAGTACATTTTCGTGTATAAATGTTTTGAAAACCAACTTTTATATAAGATTTTATGAATACTTTATAGAAAAGTTGACATACAGTTGGTATCGACTCTTTATACATATTCTGTAGTGATTAAGTTTTTTTTTCTAAATATAAAAATCGAAAGAGTGTGAGACGCTCTATGTGATGGAAGACGTTTTAGACTTTAACTAAATGACTTTAATAGGGTTTTTGATCACTTTTCGATAGATACCTTCAGTTTTTGTGACACTTCTCTGGCTTTCATATTTTAAAAAACCTGGTCACTACAGAATATGCATAAAGAGTCGGCATTAACTGTATGTCAACTTTTCTATAAAGTATTCATAAAATCTTATATAAAAGTTGGTTTTAAAAACATTTATACACGAAAATGTAGTGCATCTTCTTCTCTTTCCATTTATATAGATTCAGGTTTTTTTTGAAGCTATATGGTGACAATAACTCAATTTAGAAGGTCGTGCAAAAAAATCCTTCAGAGAAAGTTGAGTCATTCAAATTATTATATGTCTAGTTCCACTATAACTCAACCTGAAGAGTTGAAATTTTCTGTGGACATAATATAGGATCTAGGTATACTTTTGACGAAAGCTGCTCGTCAAAAGAGCATATTATAAGCGAGTTATACTCAAAACAAAATCTTCCAAAAAATATTGTCCAGGACTGTATATAACAAAAAACTATGAATAAATAAAGACAATGATAACGTAAGTCGCATGATGAGCAGAAAAAGAAAAGTTTACAAAAACAAAACAACCAAGCCAATCGTAATTGAATTCAAATGAGATAAAGCATATTTAGTAGTTTCTTTAAAACAAACTGATAACAGCAATAATTAGAATAATAGTTCAAATGACAATTTTTGCAGAAAAGATTCGTTCTCGTGAATATAAGGATAAACATATCAATACTATTTTCCTACGATGATTATTCTGTTTTCATATAGTACCATACAATTGAACACCTAACGATAAAGTATTGAAATAAAACTTTTCTTGAACTAAATTCAATGGACTTGAATGAATATGTGTCGAGCTAGGTATTTATTAAGAAAATGAGATAAAACAACATAATACGATCGACATGTGAGTTTCCACGTTTCTATTCTTAGTAGAAAGTAAGCTTTTGCTCTTCTATCTATTTTTGATGATGAATTATGGCTTGAAAAAACAATTTGATTGATAATAAAAAGAGAAATAGTGGAAATAATAGCTTTCTGAAATTTGAATTTTCGAGATTTAATTACAAATTCTTGTATTTTTTCGAGCATTTAACAGTAAATGAGGAAGATAATTAATAATTGTGAACTATTGCTATCTTTCGGATCAGTTACAATGTCTTCAATATTATTCAAACATATTCTTCATTGGTTCAGATCAATCAAATAGATCTGTCGGAGATAAACAGATTAAGTTTTTCAAGTTATATTCAGATAATCATTAATAATGGATTTTTTGACTAATTTTGTTTGGAATAACTAAAAATTTATGATTGATATCCTTGTTAAAATAATATAGATAAGTAAATTGAAACAAGAGATACTCCAAATTCTCAAATACTACTTTCTAGGAAATATCTGGATCGCCAAGACTAAAAGTTTCCTCCTTCTCAGCTGCAACAAGACCGATAGAGCTAGAATTTTTTTTACAGATACTAGACACTGTTTGGGATGCCTGTTTTTTTGGTTTCTTTCATTCAAATAAAAAGATCAAAATATTGAGCGTAACCCTACAAATACATGTTTTTTTCTTGGAACTTTCTTTGGTAAAATCTGTCAAAAATCAACGGTGCAATATTATTCAACTCCAAAAATAAATTAGGCACCCAGAGCAGTGCCCAATACCTGTAAAAAAACGTTTCAGCTCGATCGAACGTTCTATGTCGGAGAAACGGGGACGATTGCGTTCTTTTTTTTGTGCTAAAAATATTGATTTCGAGAAAAACGAAAAATTAATTTTTCCACTACGTATCAAGACTTTTTCTCCAACTAAAGTGATCGAAAACTGGACGTGTTCAGCAGTGTTAGAGGTCCATGATCCCTGCTCTCAGCACTGTTGAAATGAGAAATACTCATTATCACTAGAAGAATTTTGCATACAGAGAATAATAGTAACGCCAGTTTCTCTGTTAGAGATCCTGAGAGTTGGGTGTAATAAAACTACCAACTAACAACGAAGATCCCTCATCTATATGGTATTTGATAGAAGACACTTCGAAGCTATATTAACGATTGAAAACCAGACAGATTCACTGTAAAGTAAATAAAACCATAGGACGAATTGGTGCATATGGAGTCTTGTCGTGTTCAGCTACGTAACAGAACACCATATGAAAAACAACCAATGTAAAATTCTTTCATTATCGAGCGCTACAGTCAATTTTATATTCTCTATTATATAATTAATTTTACAAATATTTTTCAATATTTTGCTTTTTCTTTACTAATTAATAAAGAAATTTCAATCTTCATTTGTTATTCTTAATTAATTTGATTGTTTCTCTATACACTATGGTTGTCATGGATATTATAATCAAAAATGGTTTCCCATATTCACATACATATACGAAAGAACGGATGAATTTACATTTGTTGAATTTCAATAGAGTGTTAAGTATCCTGTCAACAAATAAAACAATAGTTACTCTATTATATCTTTGTTAGAAATAAAATTTTTCTAAACAATGTCTCAAGCCGGTCTTTTATCTGTCAAACAAGTTATTGGTGTTCGAAGTTCTGTTACTAATGGTTTAGCATTTCAAGATGAACAAACTGTTGTTTATATAGCTGGTGGTAATATTGTCTTATATGGAATTGATCAAAAAGCACAACGAGTTATTCCATGTTCAATAAATGCTCAAGGTAAATTCAAATAATAAATACAATAGATTTTTTTCTTGTTGTTTTTTTACAGCATTAACAACAATGACTGTTAGTCCTAATCGACGTGTCATAGCTATTGCTGAACGTATAAATGATCGTCCACAAGTAACAATCTATGATCTTCAATCGGGTAAACGTCGAAAAACTTTACAATCAGAATTAATAAAATCCAATGAAATTGTATCATTATTATTTTCATCGGATTCAAAATATTTATTAACTCAAGGTGGTGCACCAGATTATACACTTATCTATTGGTCATGGGAAAAAGGTAAAGTAATGGCACATATTGATGTTAAACCACCAACAGGTCCACAAGCAAATGCAACAGTTAATCAGGTTACTTTGAAGTTTTTTTGTTTTTTTTTTTGTAATCTTATCTATATATTGAAAATTTTTGTTTTTTCTTTCTTAAAGGTATCATTTAATCCACAAGATAATACACAAATATGTACAATTGGTCATGGTCTATTTAAAATGTTTCGTTATGCTGAATCAGCATTAAAACCATCTCAAAATCTTAAACAAGAACATTTTAATTTTACATGTCATTGTTGGATTTCTGATGATCGATTATTAGCTGGTACAGATCAAGGAAAATTATTTGTTATACAAAATGGAGAAATTTTACATGAAATTAAAATTGATTCAAAAGCTGAACCAAGGTTTTTATTTCAAAAATAAGAAAAAAAAAAACAACCTATTTGTTTGTTTGTTTGTTTTTTTTAATATTTATCTTTAGATCAGTAACAAGTCATCATACATCAGATGAACGTTTAGGTTTAGTTGACAGTAGTATGGATATAAATATAAGTACTGATCATTCAATAAAATCTGAAATCAAATGTATTATACCATTTTCACGTGGTGTTCTTGTTGCTGCTGGTGTTAATAAAGTATATATGTATGATCGAGTTGATGATAATCGAGAATATTTTCGACGTAATCGAGAAATTTTATTACCTATTGATTTAAATGATAAATCAAATAATGAACGTGTTGTTTCAATGTGTTTAAGTCCATCGGAAGAAACACTTGTTGCTTTAACAGATCATCAACAAATTTATCAATTATCTTTTTCCGGAATTGATATAACAAAAGTTAGATTTGATTATTTGAAAAATTATGTTAAATTATAGGGTTTTTTCTTTTTTTTTTTAGGATGTAGCAACTTTTTCATATTTAACAGAAGGTTATCATCATGCTCAAGTTACTGGAGTTGATACATGTGTTCGAAAACAACTCATTGCTACTTGTGGTGTTGATAGATCAGTTCGTCTTTGGAATTATGAAACAGGGTAAAGAAATTTTTCGCTAGAAAATATAAAAGTCATCAAAGAAGGATCACTCACTATAGACTACGCTAAAAAAAATATGTTATCGTATAGAGAGCGAGGTGCATCACTTGTCAGTATTTAAGTTTGACCATGGTATTGAAGTAGTACATGTCAAAATAATGAGTGATACGTAATCAATGAGAGTAAATGTTTTCCTTTTTTTCATAACACTTCTCAACTAGAGTCGGCCAGGCCCAAAATTTTCAGACCCGGTCTCGATAGACTCTATTTCCAATATATTAGAGATTTAGTTTTAGGCTCATTCTATAAAGATTTCCCTGATCTACAAAACTACTGTCTTTATTTTTTAAATAATATTCTTTTTTTTCTGTTGGCGTAAAATTTAAAATATGAACACTGACTTGATCGTTTAACTGTGACATTCAAAAAATTTAGCTAAAATTTCAAAGATACTACAAAGTTATCCACAATATTTTATATCTTTTGATATATGTTTGAGACTTTTAGAAGAAATATATGTAAGAAAAACCAGAAAAATCTGTTTCTAGCAGAATTACAACATTGTTCTTTTCGTAATGTTTTTTTTTCTCTTCAATTTAACAATCATATGATTTTATTCAGAATTAAATTCTATACCTGGCACCATGAGAACAAACGTATTATAGATCAAGTCTTGTTTTGAAAGTTATTTGAAAAACAAAGACGAAAATTTTGTACAGCAGAAATTTCTCTATCGAATGAGCTTGAAACGAAGTGTATCATGTATTTGGAAGTGCTCTGAAAAGAGGAAAACATTCTGTCACGTTTATTATGTTCCATCAGTTACATAATCATCGAGTTACGTTGACTAATATTTTTCATTTTATACTTATCCTCAATGACTCTATTACAATCTCTTGAATAACAGTCTTCTGATTTATTTTATTTCTCTGAATATTTGAAATGTCAAGTTTGATACACAAGAATTATAACAAAAAAGAAAACTAACTAAAATAAAGATTTTTTTGTTTTTCGACTTATTTTAGTACACTTGAAGTATGTAAAGAATTTCAAGAAGAAGCATATACTGTTTCAATTCATCCATCGGGTCTATTTATTCTTGTTGGATTTTCTGATAAATTAAAATTATTCACAATATTAATTGATGATCTACGTCCATTTAAAGAATTTTCTATTCGTGGTTGTCGTGAAGCATTATTTAGTAATGGTGGACATTTATTTGCTGCTGTACATGGAAATGTTATTCAAATTTATTCAACAGTTACTTTTGAAAATATAACTAATTTAAAAGGACATAATGGAAAAGTTTGTTGTTTTTTTTTTCAATTATATTTAGAAAATATAAAGATAAAAGTTTTAGGTTCGTCAATTAATTTGGTCACCAGATGATACACGATTATTTTCATGTGGTATGGATGGTGCAGTTTATGAATGGGAAGTTGCAACATCAAAACGATTACATGAAGCTGTACTTAAAGCATGTGGTTATACAGGTCTTGGATTAAGTGCTGATTCAAAAACAGTATTTGCTGTTGGTACTGATAGAAAAATTAAAGAAATTGTCGATGCTCAAGTTAGTTTTTTTTCCTGATAACTCACATATGTATATATATGATTCATTGATGCTTTTAGCAAATTCTTCGAGAAATTCAGGTAATACCGGATGACGTACAACCTACAACAATTGCACTTAGTCATACGGGTAAATCATTATTAGTTGGTACATCCAAAGGAACTGTTCGATCATATAAATTTCCTTTAACAAAATCGGATGAATATACAGAATATATCGGGCATGTTGGAATGATCAATCGAGTAAGTTTAACACAACAAAAAAAAAATGAGAAAATAGAACATATTGGGATTCAGAAGGAAATAAAAGA